TGATACGTGGCACGTGTAACACATATTTCGATCATTACACATTTATCTTTATCGATTAATTTGCCTTACAGAGATTTGGGCGTATATAGAGCGCGTATATTCACCATTTCTTTTCTCTTTTTTTTTAAGTGTAATCAAACAACCCTTGTATAATTTAGCTGAATAGTGACTATAGCTCTCCGTTAGGGATGTCTATAATAATGTTTACGTTCATTGATGCTACGGGAGCTCGGTGTTATCAATGATTATGAACGATCAAATCGAGAATGTACCGAATGCCAGTTTGAAATCGACGAGGAGAAAAATATTCGAATCATTTTTATATAACGCGAAGACTAGTGCAATGAAGACTTGTGTAAATACCGATTGTTTTTTTCTATCTCTCGTTTCTCTACCTTTCTCTTTCTCTCTCTCTCTTTCTCTTTAACGTGTAATATACTCGTGTTAAATCCTATCCTATCTGCTGGGCTCCCCCGTTGTAGATTTTCGTTTTCTCTTCTCTATATGTATTACGAGTGCAGTGAATTGTTGACACCGATTTCTAGATTTCGATTGAAGATACTTGTTGTTGACTTGGTAGTGACAGAACAAACGTGTTCCAGAGACTTTGTGCCCTTTACGTGTTTCATTACGCGTCTGTTTATTTCTGCAGAGGATCATCGATCAGAGAAAAAAGAAAAACGTTCTTTTTCAACATCGATGGAGAGAAATGAGCGATCGTGGGAACGGGGAAAAGTGTTATTTGAATTTTTTTATCGATCGCGAATAGATTTTCAATCATCTTGTTTCTCTTTTTATTTTTGTTTGCAGAAATGTACGGACACACTAACATTGATCGTGGAATACTGTGACCATAAATCCATTCTTTTCGTTTAGCCGATTGATAATACAAATGGACTGTACATTATATATATGATCAACTCGAGGCAATCGTTTCCGGATGAAACGAGTTTTAAGAGAGAAAAATCAACCTGATAACAGTATTCCAGGGTTGATAGCCTGTTTTCTCTTCATGATTAACTAATCTGCGCCGAGCTAACTCTACGCTAATTCTAATGAGATCTTGTACAGAGTATTGTAAAATATATTTTTACTACATTTTTTTTTGGTTTTATTATTTATTTCTTCATATACACGGAATTGTATTTAAGTTCGTCTCTGTAGACCGTCGCTGGTACGCCATTATGTATGCCATGCCGTCGAGCCTTGCCATTTTACGTCGTTTCTTTATCTCTCTGTCTCTCACTTTCTCATATCTTACAAACAATCCCAAAGTCGTTTTGTTTTCAATACTCATACACGGATCGTGGATGCAAACGAACGGATGCAAGAACTCTTTGTAACAACTCTTTATCTTGAGTATCGACGCTGTCGATAAGCGCTTTATAACGATTATGCTGAAATATATAACATTTATATCGACGTAATGCGTTTCACTTATNGATACGTGGCACGTGTAACACATATTTCGATCATTACACATTTATCTTTATCGATTAATTTGCCTTACAGAGATTTGGGCGTATATAGAGCGCGTATATTCACCATTTCTTTTCTCTTTTTTTTTAAGTGTAATCAAACAACCCTTGTATAATTTAGCTGAATAGTGACTATAGCTCTCCGTTAGGGATGTCTATAATAATGTTTACGTTCATTGATGCTACGGGAGCTCGGTGTTATCAATGATTATGAACGATCAAATCGAGAATGTACCGAATGCCAGTTTGAAATCGACGAGGAGAAAAATATTCGAATCATTTTTATATAACGCGAAGACTAGTGCAATGAAGACTTGTGTAAATACCGATTGTTTTTTTCTATCTCTCGTTTCTCTACCTTTCTCTTTCTCTCTCTCTCTTTCTCTTTAACGTGTAATATACTCGTGTTAAATCCTATCCTATCTGCTGGGCTCCCCCGTTGTAGATTTTCGTTTTCTCTTCTCTATATGTATTACGAGTGCAGTGAATTGTTGACACCGATTTCTAGATTTCGATTGAAGATACTTGTTGTTGACTTGGTAGTGACAGAACAAACGTGTTCCAGAGACTTTGTGCCCTTTACGTGTTTCATTACGCGTCTGTTTATTTCTGCAGAGGATCATCGATCAGAGAAAAAAGAAAAACGTTCTTTTTCAACATCGATGGAGAGAAATGAGCGATCGTGGGAACGGGGAAAAGTGTTATTTGAATTTTTTTATCGATCGCGAATAGATTTTCAATCATCTTGTTTCTCTTTTTATTTTTGTTTGCAGAAATGTACGGACACACTAACATTGATCGTGGAATACTGTGACCATAAATCCATTCTTTTCGTTTAGCCGATTGATAATACAAATGGACTGTACATTATATATATGATCAACTCGAGGCAATCGTTTCCGGATGAAACGAGTTTTAAGAGAGAAAAATCAACCTGATAACAGTATTCCAGGGTTGATAGCCTGTTTTCTCTTCATGATTAACTAATCTGCGCCGAGCTAACTCTACGCTAATTCTAATGAGATCTTGTACAGAGTATTGTAAAATATATTTTTACTACATTTTTTTTTGGTTTTATTATTTATTTCTTCATATACACGGAATTGTATTTAAGTTCGTCTCTGTAGACCGTCGCTGGTACGCCATTATGTATGCCATGCCGTCGAGCCTTGCCATTTTACGTCGTTTCTTTATCTCTCTGTCTCTCACTTTCTCATATCTTACAAACAATCCCAAAGTCGTTTTGTTTTCAATACTCATACACGGATCGTGGATGCAAACGAACGGATGCAAGAACTCTTTGTAACAACTCTTTATCTTGAGTATCGACGCTGTCGATAAGCGCTTTATAACGATTATGCTGAAATATATAACATTTATATCGACGTAATGCGTTTCACTTATTTTTCTTTTCTTTTTTTCTGTTCAACCCTTAGAGAACAGCCTGGGTTCATTTAAATTCGTACTTATCATTTTTATAGATATACATATTTTTCATCGTACTTATTTGAAGAGACCAGTACTCTTTTAATTAAACTTGATAAAGATAAATTAGAATTTATGTTAACGAGTAGAAGCTGACAAATTATTCGAATCTTTGAAAACGTGAGTCAACATGGACCCGGGCGTCGTTGTCTGAGGGTCAATTGTACAACGCGCTCCTACTAGAGTTCCGGTATATCCGTTTAAACGGGTAATCAGTATTGTTACTGTTAGTTCGAAGAAAAAGAAATGTTGATAGTCTTAGTTTTAAGATTAGACACTTTCTTAAACAAAAGGAAAAATGGATAGCAACCGGTACTCCAGTCCTGTGATCGTATCCATTCCTGTTTTGTCTTTAATTTAAAACACTTTAATTTACAAAAATACTACATCTCAACAAAAGTTGCCCCTATTGCTCTCGCTGTGTAGGACTCGATAACATAGTTATCCTATATTTAAACAGGGAAGAGATATTTTATTTTTATCATCCATTCCTTTTCCTGAAAACAGTGAACGCTCAACTCTCATTAGAAATTTACTGTTAAATTTGCACGATGCATTTACACACCTTCATCATAAATTGTACACAATATCCCTTAACTGTTTAAAACAATTTGATTACTGTTTAAGTTTCCAAGGGACTCTTTTTTTTTTTGTCTTTTTACCAAGAACAAGTCGCTGAATCAACGTCTGCGAGAATTCCTTCCTTCTCTCTACCTTATATATATACGTATTACTTCATACAGTCGTTAAACTACTATGTTACAATTCACACAGGTGTGTACGCAGGTGTGGTTCCTATTTGGTTTTCCAAGAGTGCAAACATATCACCAAAGTATACTTGTGTTCATGCGTTGCTCTTTCATTCGATCCGCATTGTAATTCCATTCATTGAACCATACGTCATTGGCTCGCATTACTAGACTGCAGATCTTTATGCATTGGCAGCTTATAAAGATCTTTGAATGGAGTAAAATAGAATTTTTATAGTCATTGCTGCCTTCTCTTTTTACTTGCAAATTGCCGAAACTATTAGTATGATAAATGAAATACTATTTTTCTTGGGATATTATGGACATACACATTCTCTATAAAAATAGAAATTTGTATAAACGTCCGCAGTCTAGTCGTTATCATATTTAGAGTGGTCAATTCCACTGTTTCGAGGTCGTTTAGATGAACATGTGTTCTACTTGGAACGACGGGTTTAGGCCTTTTATAGGAACACTGACTTGTCCTACTCTGAAATAGCGTCAAGGTAGAATCAATTTTTCTTTCGTGGAACCGAATTACATCGGTAATTGTTAGTACCAAATTCACGGGAAGTAGGAATTTTACAAATATATATATATACATATATCAAATTCTACCTATAAAGCATGATGTATTCAATCGGTGAAAAATTTGTTCTCGTTAAGACGCAGCTACGATCGATCCAATTTTATAAATATATCACAAAGCATAAAAAATACTTCTGGTCGATACGAGGTGTAGGACGCATAAATCAATAATGTAAACGTAATTGTGTTCAAGGCATCATAGATGTTTATTTCTCTTCTATGTGTGATCGTCGATATCTTCTTTTTTTATTGGGACAATGGTGTACGACCAATTATAAAAGGGTCAATCCGAGGAGATTCTCACCCGTAATTAATAGTATTTCTTAAATAAGTATGTATATACACAATTGAAACATCGGCTTTTAGTTCTACACGATTTCCTTTGACTCTGAGAGAAGACGCTAAATACATAGGTATAAATAATTACTGTTTCAATGGACAAATTGAGAACAATGATTGGATGTAATTGTCGCGAAGAGACATCAGCTCGTTAGGGAGGCGAACGTTGCGTGTTTTTCACTGGATCAATTCTCTACGTATATATGTACATGTCTCCGTTGGTATTGGAAGGATTATTGTTCTCGTTAATTAACGGTTTCATGAAAATAGTATCTAGCGCGTATCTCAATAACGGCAATGACAGTTTCTAATTTCGTAACCTATGGCATTAAAAATGTTTCACGTGTACGGATCGTCGTGTAATCATATCTTCATTGCTCTCTTTTTTTTTGTTCTTTTGTTAAATTTTTTTCTGCCAGAAAAGTATGATCGGCATTTGGCAAAACTTCCATTTTCGACTCGACTGAACAACTGCACATTTGACTCTATGCTTGCACAGTTCATAAATTAATCCACTATACAGGTGTGAAAGTTAATTCGATACATAGACTGGCTTATGTAACTTCTAGTTATTGATTATTGCAACCAGTGCTAATGCGGCATTTTCTGTTCGGAACACACTGAAATAATACTCTTCTACCTCAATGGTACAGCTTATGAATACGATAAAGGGAACGGGGAAACCTTGTTCGAAGAAATTTCTATTGACATAATCAATAGACGGTAATCCATCGAAACGAGGCAGCTTTCGTAATACTTTTAAACATAATTATTCGAATGCCGCGTGAGCTGTTGTCACTCGTCCGCATTTTAATAGCTGAAACGTAAAAATAATTAATGCTTTTTCATTATAAACATCGGTTAGATGCTTCAATCCATTTGTAGAATTATACGAACCGGTAATAGTTAGGCTTAAAAGGTCCAGCCTTATTAAGTCCCATGTATTTGGCTTGCTCATCCGACAATTCCGTTAAGTGTGCATCGAACGTTGGTAAATGTAAGGATGCCACGTATTCGTCTATTAAATAGAATTGTTTTTACATTTTCGAATTGTTTAACTTATCACTGCAATGGCACGTGGGTCACTGAAGACTAACGACAGTAACTAACAATTCTTTCTTAACTACTTTAGAGCAATCGAAGATGCAAAACATTTACAAAGTTCCCATAGCGTGCCTCTGCAGAATTAATGTACAAAAAAGCATCATCACTGTCCACTTACCCATCTTTTTGGGAAGTAAATAGACGTCGCTTTTGTATCGTCCCGGAGGCGCATTGAATAATTCAATAAGCGCTAAGGCTTGAGTAGCAGCTGTAATTGATACAACAAATGAGGGAATACTGGAACAAGACAAGTTGACTAAACGGCCTTCCGCTAATAACACGATGCGCTTTCCGTCTGGCCAGATAACATGATCCACTTGAGACCTTACTTTTTCCCAAGTTAAATCGGGCGTGCGTAAACTGTTCTGTTAAGCACATATTAAACGAGTCTTAATGTTTTACCAAATTATTTCATTTTTTTTTTGTTCTGAAATGTAAGAAACACGAGTTTTTTCTCCCTAAATAGTCTAAACGAAGGACTAGTTCGAAAGTTCTTACAAAGAGAGTGGCGGTACAGTGTTAAAACTTAAACGTACGATATCTATCTCCGTATTGCTGTGACCCATATTGCACACTACACATCCGTTCTTCATCTTGTCCATATGCTCGCGCGTTACTACATTTTTATTGCCTGTTGCTGTGATCACAATGTCCACGTTTCTGATTACTTCGTTCAGTTTCATCACTCTGAACCCGTCCATGCTACAAAATAAAGAAAGAAAAACATCTATGAACGAGACCGTCGGAAAATTCGAATTTTCCAGAAAATAAATTACCTAGCTTGCAAAGCACAAATAGGATCGATTTCAGTTATATAAACAATACATCCTAAACCTTTCAGAGCCTGGCAACAGCCTTTACCAACTTCGCCGTAGCCACAAATTACAACTTGCTTTCCACCAAACATGATGTCTGTAGATCTTTTCAAACTAAAGCAGGATAAATTAAAATAATTAACAATATATCATTAGTGTCGCATTTTGCTAACATTGCATTTGCTAACTTCGTTGAGCGAGCAAATATGATGATGCAGAACTGTCAGTTATTTGATCTCTTAGTAACGCTAACTGCAATGTCAGCGAGATGTTGATACAATTTTCCAAGGGGCTTCGACTATTTCTAATTAATTTACCTATCGATAATACTTTCGCGACAACTATAAAGATTGTCGAACTTGGTCTTCGTCACGCTATCGTTTACGTTCATGGCAGGGACGGATAGTTTGCCTGCTTTGGACAGTTGGTATAATCTATGTACACCCGTTACACTCTCCTCAACAATTCCTGCAAATTGATATTATTATTACCATATTCTTTCCTATTATGCCACACAAAGACGCGAACAATGAGGAGACCTTGAATCATTTTAAACATCGCGTTATATTTTTTGAGCATTAAATGAGTCGCGTCACCACCGTCATCCAATATCATATTTGGTTGCCAATTCTCTGCTGCTACGCATTTGTCGATGCACCACCAGAAATCCTCTTCTGTTTCGCCACGCCAGGCAAAAATTGGATAACCGGCGTGTGCAAGTGCAGCAGCCACTTCGTTTTGCGTGGAATAAATATTGCACGCTGCCCATCTGACTTGTGCTCCCAAATGTACTAACGTTTCAATGAGGACTGCAGTTTGAGCATTGATATGAGTGCATCCTACGATTTTCGCGTTCTTCAGCGGCTGAAAAATATTTCAGAATTTTTATTTTTTAAAATTTATACACTTTTTAAAATTTGTATTAATGAAAGAATACCTTATCCTCAGCCGCACGTTTACGGAGCGCCATTATTCCAGGCATCTCTTGCTCTGCTATTTCTATTTCTCTACGACCAAATGCGTGTTGATTAATGTTGCGCACGCAAAAGTCAATGAAACCCTTTTCCGTTTTCTGAATCTTTTCACGCGGCGAGACATCGTCCTCGTCTGATGAGCTTCCTGTATAAGATGCTAGAGTAAAACAGTGTTAAGAAAACGAACGGAATTAGTACCACAACATACAGTGCATGCAGCAGGCTTAATGAGTGTGCTTATTAAGTTACGATCGGTCAGCGTACGACAGAGACACATTTAATTACATCGACGATATTTAACACATGGAAAGCAGCATAAATCTGTCCATACCAGAACTGTAACTATCTGTGCTACTGGCTGACAAAGAACGGCTACGATAACGACTGGATTTCTTCAAGGCTCCAGACTTGGAATCCTAAACATTTAAGAGATTGAATTAATCGAGAGATCATTTATATTCTTTGTCTTGAGAAGGGCTGCGATGAATTGAAATGGACTACAAACAGAAGAGTGCAAATGAAGCTATATTATTTGGCTGAATGGACACAGATTAATATAGACGACAAGTAATAAAATTCTCTGCCAAATGTCATGTAATCAAGAGTAAATCAAATGCACATTGTACACACAATTAAGCAAAGATAAATTGTTTTTATTAACAGTGCTGCTCCAAATTACACAGACAGATTGGTGCATGGGACTCGTGATTTAAACTATATTTGAGTAAAAAAAAATCGTCTGATTATTATCCTGTGTTATTTGACGGGGGGGAGGCAAGAATGATAAAACTCACTGGCACATACCACACTTATGTAGTCATGGGAAATTAAAGCAGCCCTGAGGAAATTGCAAGGATTGCTCTATGGAAAAGGAGTACAAGTTTACTTTGTGTTTTCTTACACATATATTTCTTACTTACTAATTTTTTTCTCGCGGCTTGAAAGGCATTATTTGATGCCTCTAGGCTCTGAAATCACAATAATCACCATTATATGATTCAAATTGCATCAGATTTTTCATAGTACAGTCCGTAGTTTGGTACAAAGCTCCCAAAGGTATTACTTGTACATAAAACTTGGAGTATCACAAGTATGCAAGTTTTACATACGCAGAAGTATTCCCTTTATATATTTTTTTAGCTTTTTTAGTTTAATTACTCCTCTGTTTTATGATGCTCGAAACATTGGTTCAGTAGTGCTAATCGTGCCACGCCTATAGTGTATTTAGGCTTGTAATGAGCGATGCATGAGTGATTGGTACCGAACCTACGGACTACTGTGAGAATAATGCTCTATATGTAAAATAATATAAGCGCCTCGAAGGCAGGCAACATGTGTAATAGCATGCAAGTCACCTTTCAACTTTTGTATTATCAGGAGTTGAAGCTATATGCTATGCTTTTAATAGAAAATATTTTTTAAGGATTGTACAATCCTTTGTTGTAATACTGTTGGCGTGCTAGACAAAAATATTAGTTAAAAATTGTTACAATTATCGTGGAAGGAGGGATACTAGGAAAACACAAATTGTTAACAGAATAAAATGTTAACATTAATAAAATTGTATCATAAAACTAAATATTAGGTGCTTAATCCCTTTTGCAGACTAACAATTAAAATACTGTCAGTTATTACTTCACAGAAGCGGTAGTTCGTCGGAATCTGACAAGTGGCTTTGTAACATAGAGGACAAAGTACTTAAAATGTCTGCAACTTCAAAAGATGCAATGTCCTCGACAGATAAATGAAGTGTCTCTTAGTTCCATGCCAATTACCATAACATTACCACCACGTTGCATAAGTTTTTTAAATTACCAATTGCCGTATATGTTACAGGCAGATGCACATTTGCAATATACATTATTGTGCGAACAGTTGCTTATAAATTATACTTCATTTTTTTACATACGATAATACTCATTTAAATGTCAAATGTACAAATACAAGGCACGTGTCATAACAAGACAGCTTATCTTTATGTAAATTTTATCAACTCTCGTTAAGCCTGTCATTTCTTTGTGCTTCTTAAACTAGCATTATATTTAGATGCTTAAAATCTGTAGTCTACTTATAATAAACGATTTCCAAACATTACAGACAGATTTGCTCCATAATGTGTTTTTAATACCTCGTAACAAGCGAAGGAAATTACTTGTTTGGCAATAAATGGAAGGTACCCATCACATTGTACGTCAATCACTACCATGTGTAGTGTTACATAACAGAAACATGTGGTCACAAGACCCAAAAAGGGTTGGGTCGAAACGCAATAAGAAAAACAAAACACAGGTACGAAAGAAGATAGATAAAGGTAAATGAAAGATGGTGTACAAAGTATTTTGTACGGAACAAACGTAAAGGAGGGTAAGGTGGACGAATCTTTCTCCTTTTGCTATTCGTTCGTTCAACGAACGAAGACCATTCATTGAAATCCTCAATTCTATCGAGCATGTAAGCAATTTAATTAGCGCGAGAACCGCGATTGGCGGTAACTATGATACTCGTAGTAGTACACTGTCAAGTTTTCGCGCGCGTCGGCAATTGAAGTTAAGAAAAAAGTGGCACGTTCAAATCTCAAATGATAGCGTTCTTTAATTTACCTTGGTATTCGACGCTGGATCAGTGACAGGTCCATCGATGACTGTATTTCTGACCGCTTTCCCTGACGACGAACTGTTCACAACATCTCCGTTGTCAGCCATTTTCGATTCCAAGTCAGAATAGTTCGGTCACTTCGAATACAGGTGGTGTTTTTATGCATTTGCAATGAAGTGCGTTCTTATAGAGGCGAAACTTCAATGTTTCGCGGCAATCAATTTTTAGTGCGCATGCGTTCACGATGTAACTCGTCACGAATACATGTACTCAAATACGCATGCGCATGCATGTTTATGTCTTACGAACGTAACATCAAATTGATATATTTGAATTAGGAATCATTAGTGAAATTAAAATTGCTTAAGAATATTCAATTATGTATGTAAGATGATCGAAATAATGTTTCGAATACTATCCATTATATTTGTTAAATACTTTCATCCACTATATTACGTTTTAAATATTGCCGCGTTTCTCAACGTTTTCAATTTATCTCACGAAGTTTGTTCATCCTTTTTTATCCAGAAGACTTACTTGAAGACAGAGACGTTAATTTACAGATGCGACAACACTGTCAACATATAGGTTTAGAATTACAAGGTATGAAGATCAAAGGTTCCGACAGAAATTTTGTCTCTATAAAAATTTGTTGCGTTGTGCATTCACGGGAACGTAGTTACGTGGGACAATTTCAGATGTCTGTTTTTTACTTCATAGTGAGTAAACTAATTCGTTAAACAAATAATAATTGGCCACGATAACAATTATTTGTTGCAATGTAAAAATTATATCTAGAACATGTCCAAAATTGATAACTTTACAGTGGTTTGTTTATTTAAAAATATTAGAAATAATCGGAAATATGATACAATATTAATATGAAAAGCTTGCATAAATATAAATCAAGTGGTCCGCACTTTCAACAGATGCTTCAAAGCAACGTGTCGGTCAGAGATAAATTTCATTTATCATTTAAATTTACGTTGCATGTTATCGATAAAAGGATGCCATTGTTCTTATCACTATCGACTATCTAAATATGATCGCGTACGTTTTTTATCGAAGTTAATATCATTCATAGGTAGCAGCAATTAGAAATCCAATTTACGAGGATCTACCTAGTGTCAACAAAATTTCAGAAACGATAATAAGTTCTGGCAATGTCCAATTTACAACATTCGATATTGACAATTAGTAGATGTGTCATTTTCATGTTGTGCAACGTGTTTCGCAAATTTTCATTCGATTTCCAGTCAAGGGAATCGCATGGCTTTCTTGCTGCACTGTGTATAAATGTTAACGAGTTTGACGTTCCGTTCGAATGTCCTAGATTGGCTCATTGTCGTGCAACAGCGAACATCTAGGTATGTCTCGAAAGAATGCTTCCGCTGATCTATTATTAAACTGACATTTCCTCATCGTAATACGACCAGTAGAACGTAAAGGCAAAGTTAGTCCGATTACTTCGGGGACTCTCTATACGAATGTATCGCGACAAGCTTGATACGGCCTTGTTCTTGTTCGACGAGCACTATCACAGCACTTTCGCGATATGAGCACGGTAACTAGATCTCCCTAGGAGCTCTTAAACTAGTAGGTGCGTGATTTTCGAGCCTGGTGTGATCTGAGAAAATGTCACACGATGTTGAGCGGCTATCAAAGCAAGTCGTTTAAGCGCCATCACTTGATATTTGCACGAAACAGATTCTGAAAGTTCCTGTTACTTTTTATAGAGGACGCTGAAAAAACATCGATTTTACGGTTTAGCAATATCGATATTTAGGTTAGCAAGAAGGATATATGTAGTTTTTTGAAGGTTTATTTAGATCTTTGACACGAAAGAAATTCGTTAAGTAGAAAAAATAAATAATTAAATTAATATTTATAACGATAATATACAAGTCTTAATATAAAGGTACATATAAAATAGTATAAATACTATTCCCACCTTTTAAATGTTCGTGCCGTATACACTTATTGCCTCCAAATAATATTAAAACTTCGGGCGCAGTGTCAGTTCGGATGCCTAAGTGTGTGATATTATCACAGACGAGGTATGAGTATAACATTGTTAAAGCAGATATTTTCATTATCTATATCGCCGCAATCACGGTCTGTAACAACGATATCTACAGAGATTTCCCACGCATGTTTCAGAAACTGTCCGCATGGGAGCGCACGGTGTATTAATCTTGCGTCGTGTGAACAGGACATTAGTTCTCACTCGCGCCATTGACAGAGCAAAAGACGGATAAAATGATAGAGGGGAGGACCGTGAGTTTCTAACGCATAGGACAAAGTAAGCTCCTATCGCGAGGATACTGTACCCTGAAAATATTAATCGCCTTGTGCCCACCCACCAAGATGGCTCCTTTATGGGGCGATACTCGATGTTTGACGTGAAGTTATTTACACACATCTGGAATTAAAGGTTCGTCGGGGCGAGTTCCGGACGTTCTTACGGTGTATCGGTCGCGCGAGAAACGAGGATTGTGTGAAAGATTGCGTAGTCGTGCAACGACGAAGGATCGATCGAGTCTCTGAAAGGAAAAAATTGAACACGGGACGGCCGGTCGGTGTACTAAAGTTTGCTCGTCGAAACGAAAGTTTATGTACTGGTAGCATAGCCTTTCGATGTCTCTCTGTCGGGAAGAATTTCCGTGATCTGTTTCGTCGATTCCCACGGCCGGACGGATTTCCGATAAATTATTTCACGAATTCGTGCTTGTATCGTGCGGGCATTCGTCTCTCGATCCCCGGGACACTATCGTTCGTGTCAAAATTGACCGCGGTTGTGTACAATGCATATTGATCTATTCGTAGCTGTCATTTCTACATCGAACAATTTCTGTTTCTGCCGCACAGATTTGTGAATTCCATGTCCACTTTAACATTACGATGACGTTATCCTCGATCGTCCCGATGTCAAATGAAATTCTAAAAGGATTCGCTGAATCTACGTCGTCATAGAACCGTGTTCTCTTGGTCGCTAGAAAGTACTTGTATATTATTTTCTTTTTCTTGCACGATCCGGAGCAACATCTTTACAACTCTTAAATAGTATTCTCGTGTCGATTCTTCATTAGGGAAAGATGTGATTTACTTGTGTGAATATTTCTCGAAGATGTGTTACGAGGAAATCTTTTCCGTTTTCTGTCGAATTCATAACCTGTGAAACGAGATTTTTTGAGCTCGTAGCAAACAATGCTCAGAACTTTGTAGTATAATTATTTTTTTCGTACGATTAAGTGAAGTTTCCATTTCATATCGAGCAACAGAATTATTTATCTTGGCTTGAAAATTCAGAGTCTACCAAATTTTCTCACCGAAATGTATTCTAACCGATCGGTTCTTGCTTCAACAAATAAATCCCTCTGATTTTATTTGTAATTAATGTGTTGATTAATGTATACATTATTTTATTTTACTTTTTTTTTTAGATACGCAGTGCCATTCCAAAGAACCATTGCTCACAGCTGTGCTAAACTATACATGTTATGCATACTACAAGATACGAAGTTTCTACATCTGAGATATGTTATTAACTTTTAGTAGTGTATAACTGTTACTCCCATTGTCACAGTAATTCTAGACAAAAGAAGCTCAAATGAGATTCCAACGAGTAACATTGCATAGTAATTATTTATATATAAATTGGAGCATACTATGCAGATTTGAAGTATGATACTCGAGTGTTATGAGAAAAGGAGGAACATAGCATGAGAAAGCATATTATTGAAAATGTTACCAAAGGGAGATAATGCTGGTTTTCATACGAACTTTTAGATCTGACATAATGACCAAAGGAACAGAGAAAGATTTTTAATAGTTACAAAGATACGCGAGGCAAGAGAAACTATTAATAGTGGTACTTAAAAATGTCCTGAGGAAAAATTGAAGGGAGAAAGATTTTTATTTTCACATTTATTAATCTTGTAAGCGATCTATTCGTGTTAAGCTTTAAACCAACAAAATGGCGAGAAAGAGTGATAATATCAAGACTATCAATGTCGCTATTGTTGGTCTTTCTGGTACCGAGAAGGACAAGGGACAGATCGGTGTTGGTAAATCGTGTCTCTGTAATCGTTTCATGCGTTCCTTGAACGATGATTATAATGTGGACCATATATCAGTGTTATCACAGGTAAATAGGTTTGATTCTATACTCGTGAAAAATTTGAACGATCATTAAAAGTTGTTTCTTGTTACAGTCGGATTTTAGTGGTCGCGTGGTAAACAATGACCATTTCTTGTACTGGGGTGAAGTAATGAAAACATCAGAGGACGGATCCGAATATCAATTTCAAGTAATAGAGCATACCGAGTTTATAGACGATGCATCATTTCAGCCCTTTAAGGGTGGCAAAATGGAGCCCTACGCGAAAAGATGCGCGGCCACCAAACTTACCAGTGCAGAGAAGCTTATGTACATTTGCAAAAATCAATTAGGTATAGAGAAAGAGTACGAGCAGAAGGTTTTACCGGATGGTAAATTAAATATCGATGGTTTTTTGTGTGTATTCGATGTAAGCGTTGTGCCGAATAGAGCCGTAGAGAAGCAAGTCGAGATCGTGGCGAACATACTGAACAGTTTGATGAAAACCAAAAAGCCTATCGTTTTGGTGACAACTAAAAATGATGATGCTAATGAGCAGTATGTGAAAGAGGCGGAGAAGTTGGTGATGCGTAAAGAGTACAAGAGTTCCATTTTAATAGTCGAAACCTCTGCGCACGAAAATATTAATATCGATTTAGCTTTTATCGTTTTGGCGCAATTAATTGATAAAACCAAAACGCGCAGCAAGGTGACAGCTTTCGCTGAAGCGGCCAGAGCTAGGAAGGAACTTCTAGATGCTTCCACGGAATCATTGCAGAGATTGATTCGAATACATGTCACTGATTATAGATCATTGTGGTCTCAAGCGTCCAAGAAACTAGCGCAGCACAAAGAATTCACCGCATTTGTGGAATTATTTGGTATTGACGCAACTCAAAGATTGTTCAGGAGACATATTAAGAAATTGAAGGATGAGCAAGTGGCAAAGAAAATCCAGGGATACTTGGATATGTTGCCCGACACTCTGCATGAAATATGCCCTGATGTAACAAACTTGATCAACGAGTACGTTTGTGAATAATTATACGATTATAATTCGCACTTTAGCTACCAGAAGCCTGTTAATTTTCTTTAATTTTTAAGAGACTATCAATGATCAATTAATTTATAAATTTTACAGAGAATGGTCTGCGGTACAACAATACATAAAAGAACATCCCGATTTCCATCAATATTTCTACGAATGTCCCGAAGATATCCCATGGATTGATTGTGATTTTGGTGAGAATAATGGTAGCAAGATTCCTTACGACGTTTTGGAAACTCCAGAAGCCGAAACAGTCTTTAAGAATCATATAAATGTTCTGCAACAAGAACAACGACGATTAGAGTAAGTATTCTGGTTTATTTGTCAGAGTTTTTAATATATAAGCAGATAGTTTTTATTATACTCCATAACTATTTGCTTACTTGTTGCTATTTATAAGTAGCACAAAAATTGGTCCATTGTTGACGCTTCGATACGATCATTAAATCGCCTCATCAGTCGACATTCTAGAAAATAATACCCATATGCAATACACTAATGCTTTGCTTTATTCTGGGTGGCGTTTCTTTGTGCAGACTTCCGAAAAGGTAAATTCTGCTTTTTAACTGCTTCAGAATATACTCTAGGAAATATTTATTTTCCATTAAGATTGATAAGTTGGTAGCTTCACTAACAATTAGTAGTAGTCTGTATTTTTTTGCATATCCATTTTACTCAATTAACACGGTTAGTAGCTAGTCACAGAAATGTAACGAACACTGTTTATCAGATGGAAAAAGCAGTTTAAACAACTGTTGGAAGAAACTGGGTATGTTACGCCAGGAAAACATCTGTCCGAGGTCAGAGTACTTTTTATGGGTAGGGAATGCTTTGAAGCTCTTTCTCATCATGATTGTCAAGAAATATACGACCAGCATCAAAAAGAAATCGTCGAAAAAGCGAAGCACAATTTTCAAGTAAAAAATGACACATCTTCTCTCATTCTGATGGGTATAAAATTATTTTTTGGTTTTATTAATTCCGTATTTTATTTTAGGAATTATTACTAGAACACGCAGACCTGTTCTATCATTTTAAGAGTATAGCTCCATCCGGCACAATAACGCAAGACGACATCAAAGAGATAACGGATGCGTTGGTGGACGATTTTAGGTACATAACATAATTTCTTATGTTTTTACTTCAAAAAGTACTGACCAGTATTATATGATTATTCTTCCTGATATATAGGTATAAAGCTTTAGATAGATTGGATCAAGATAGAAAATTAATGCTTTTCCAACACCTGGGTTTTGTACATTGCCCCATAAGAGAGCATTGTCCTGCTTATCCGAATTGCATGGATGCTCTTATAGAAAGAATACTTGGAACAAAAGCCCATAGGTGACTACGAGACGTAATTACCAAAGAATTCGTTTTGTATTCAGTCTCATTCATTAAACTCGTACTTTCTCAGGCCATCATCTTGGAATCACAGCAGCCAGTGGCAATTAACATCCGACAACAATCAGTTGAATTTAGTTATACTCGGGAGTAACGGACTCGGCGAGGAATTCGCTCGCGAGATAAGAGCCCAGACGGAGGACGACGAGGTGGAAATTGATTGTCAGTTGTATACGCTTGGATACCGAATAATCGATGGTGATGTTGGGCTGCCGCACAATTCGTTTACCACGTCTGACTTCATGCCCCACGGATCATTCTGCATTTATGCAAACGAAGACTCGTTCGAATACATTCGTTCTTCTCTAGAGAAAACATTACTGTCGAATCTGGAGCAAGAAGACAGGTTGCCATTCCAGGGATTGCCAATTGTCATTATGTTCGTGCCAGAATCCACTATAGATGAAATGGAGGCGATAAGGCTCAGGCAGGAGGGTCAGAATCTTGCTGATAGGTACTATTTATAGCTCCGAACGTTCTTTGTCAGTTTAAAGAATCGTTCCACTAATCAAACGTTCTTTTACAACAGTTTACAGTGCCCATTCATCGACGTCTGCATTGAAGATTTGGAGCAGGACAAAAGGTTTCCTACTGCACTCGTGAAAGACGCGCTGCAGCAACTCATACAATCTATAAACCACAGAGCTGGATTTCTAAATATCTACCAAAGTGTCATTGAATGCCTAGAGCCTGACATTAGGTAACGTAATTCTATTTCTTTTTCTGTGAGTCCTATAAGACGTCGAACTTCTTATACTAATTGCAATTTTTCCAGGATAATAATGTGTACGTTTTGCGGAGATCCTTATTCCGTGGAAAACGTTCTCGGCCCACTGCTTAATCATCAATGTTGCTTCTTGAGTGGCGATCGCTCGATCGTTTTAGAAACATTTTTGGGAGAGTCGAAACGAAGAGTCGAAGTTATAATCTCCAGTTTTCATGGGGCGAACGCGTTTAGGGATGAATTGGTCCATGGTTTCATATTGGTATACTCGACGAAGAGGAAAGCGTCGCTCGCGACTCTTAAGTATGCGCACTGAAGAATACCATTCACACTTTGGTACTTAATTGGTTTTGTAATCTTCAATATTCTTTTTTACAGCGCATTTTCTATGAATATACCAAACCTACCCATACAGATCATGGCTGTGACCGATACTGGAGGTGCTAACGCATTTTTCAGTAACGACTTGTGTCACTTGCTAATCACGGAAGGAAACGCGACCGCAGATAGGTTACAAGCACACTTTATGACCTCGGCATCCAGTTGCCAACAAAAAAGTATTGTTACAGCTTGAACATTTTTGTATCGACGCTTTATCTACCGGCAGTTACTGAAAATGAATATTTTCTTAATGAATTGTTAAAATATGAATAAATGTCCGGTAGATAAAGGGTGAAAGGCAATAATTTCAGCGTAAGTTTCACGGACTATTCTTTATTTAAGCGGCCTTTTACACACCGTTCTTCAAGGAAGTGTGGGAGAAGAAGCCAGAGATCGAGCAAGCGTTCAATATGGAAGAGCCAGGTAATTTGAATGACAGTGGCGAAGGGACATTAGAGTACTCTGCTCTGCATCCTATGCCTCCGCCGAGACACGAGAGTTACCATCTTCAGACACCGGATGACGGGTAGGTAGCCTGATAGTAATCTTCGGAGCATTATCGGCCTCTTGATAATTAACATGACAAAATTTTCCTATTGTTCAAAAGTCTAATGTGAAGCAGTATGTCTGTAACTTTTAGAAGCGGCTCTGAATCGTACGAGCAATTAACGCCTGACGGTGAACAGTTCGCAGACAATAGAGCCACGTCTAGCGACGACAGTGATATCTACATTCAGGTAGATTTCTGCAGAGAAGAGAGAGAAAGAGAATTGTTGAAGTCCAGTGATATCGCCAACAAATTGTCTGGTTAGTTTTTACATTCATAAATTCGTGGCACTTGCACCCGAAGTTTTTGATCTAACATTTATATTAACTTGTTGCTACAGGTTGGGTGAAGCACACGTTTATTCATCAGGATGGAGTAACTAACAATTATCCTCACAGAGCATTTACTACTGGCAGACGATACGTTTCACAACTGAAACCACGGCCAAAGGGGAACAGTCAGACGTTGAAGCAGCCTGGAAAAATCAATCTAAAAGACTTCTCACATGTGACTGATGCAATAGCTAGAATGACGATAGGAGAGAAAGACGAGCACGGACCTAAAATGACAATGGGACACGCTCCTCTCGCTACGCCTGAGTTGGTAGACCTAGGCTCTGACTACGCCCAAGTGAAGGACGTCGTACCAAGCCTATATCCGTCTTATGATGGTGATTATATGTACGCCCTCGTACAAGACTCGATTGGAAACAATAAGCCTAAGTTGCGCAATAGACGTGAGAAGGGTCAATTTTGTAAGTGGCTGGCGACCAATATTTAACCCTTAAGAGGACTCGATAAATGAACATAGCCCACTTAAGCGTCGACATAATCTCGTCATTAGTGTAAAAATCAATTAATTGTGAATTCGATCTTGCAGCATACCACGATTCCGACTCAGAACGGAGTTCCCTAGAGAATAAGAAGCCAGCGCCGAACAAGAGAATACGCAGAAAACGCATCGCCATACCTGTCGCAGCACCAAAAGTTCCGTTTTTTTCTAATAGCAAAGTTAGCAGAGACGGTATTGTTAGCCTGAATTATAATGTTAAGGAAGATAAGAATTGGCAAGTGGATCCTACAGAAAGAGGTACTTGTTAGAAATCAAATTACTGCGGTATACAACTTACGCAAACAATAGGTCGTTAATGGTTGCGTCCAATTTCCTTGGTGCAGTATCAAGCGACGCGCCAGACTCGTCGGAGTCCAGCGATCCAGAACCGACTTCAAGATCAAGGTCGAAACAATACAAACACATGCCTCCTAATCTGCGAAAGAGATCTGTGAATTCGTTGTCGCAGCATCAACCCACAACGTCACAGCATTCATTCAACGTAAAGCATATGGCTCAGGACGTGTTTAGTACTTCCTGTAAGTGATTAAGATCTCTTACTATGCAGTAACCATTTTTGATATTCATACACAATCGCTTCACTTATCCTGCTATTATGTGGTTGTTATTCTAGCAAAGCAAAGAAGTGACAATACTTTTGGAAGCATACAAGATGACGAGTCGAGCTTAGACGTGCCATCCCCGCGAGAGACTAATTCGCCAAGCGTAAGTATCGTGGATATTCGTGCAACAATAATTGGAACGAAGTGCTTCGTACAAATTTGTATTTTTATTTAGTTTGGTATCTCGAATAAGATCAAAGACGGTGACAAGTTGAACAGAAAAAAGGATAAACAGAAGGCAAAAGAGGACGAGAAACTGGAGAAACGTCGCCAAAAGGAGGAGAAGCTGAAGAAGCACGCGGAGAAGGAGAAGGAAAGGGAAAAGAAGAAGCAGGAGAAGATAAAGCAAACAAAAGGGCCAGGTGGCTCATTAAGCGGAAGTCAAGCACAACAGCAGCCATTGATCGAAGACTTTGCCCAAAGCGAAACGAATCGAATACCTTTGTTCCTTGAGAAATGTGTGCAATTTATTGAAGATGAGGGTTTGGATTCTGAAGGGATTTACAGGGTTCCCGGAAATAGAGCTCACGTTGAACTCCTTTTCCAGAAGTTCGAAGAAGGCAAGTTGCTTCGTAATGAATTCTTACGATTATCTTGGGACGATACATTAATCTATTTTACTAAACATATTTTTTTTTTATTTGGTCGTGACAGATGAAAACGTGGATATACATTCACTGGACATACCAGTGAACGCGGTTGCAACAGCTTTAAAGGACTTCTTCTCGAAGAGGCTGCCACCATTGATCGACAAAGAGCGAATGAGCGAGCTCGAGGATATATCGGGTAACTTGTGAATCTTTTCATATCGTTTTTCGTTTGGAAATGGATACTTAATCTCGTTGTCGGTGCTAGGTGCTCGCGGAATTAGCAAACCAATGTCCGCCACATGCATGAACATGGAAGGTAGGTGTCGGTTTTTAAATCAGAGGAAGCTATTAATAGGACTCGATCAAAAGATTTTGTGAACCTGTTCTAGATCGAAGCTGCAGATTATTGGCGCTGCGTTTGATGCTCAACAAGCTGAACCCGATAAACTTTGATGTACTGAAGTTCATCTTCCATCATTTTGTAAAGTAAGTTCTCTTCGTGTAAATTGAATTACTCGTTTGGTAATGGAAGATATAATTATTTTTCATGACATTTCCAGGGTGGCCGAGAACTGCAAGTTAAATAGTATGGACAGTAAAAATTTAGCAATCTGCTGGTGGCCTACGTTATTACCTATAGAGTTTAACGATCTCGGCAGATTCGAGGCGATGAGGCCGTACTTGGAGGACGTGGTTCAAACGATGATCGATCAGTATCCTTTCCTCTTCTGCGGCGAAGAAGCTATCGTAATGGTGTAGTGAAAGACAACATGAAATCCGAGTCGTACGGCCGCAGAGTCTCGTACGAGAAATCAGGAAGCAGTCGTCTGTCGTTACGTTGCTTCCGGTTGAATCCAACTAAACGGTTACAATCTTTTACGATCACGAAATAATGATCGGTCTTGCTATAGTTTATACTTATTCTATCGTAGTGCGTTCTGGCTACGACTATATAGAATAATTCTCGTGACGCAAAGGGAGGAGGAGGAGAGGAGGGGGAGGAAGAGGGGGAAAAAATGAAGCGAAGACCGAACAAATTAATTTAAGTTTCGACATACTCGTTCCATGGCGAAGCGTGACTGGCGGGATGATAGATTACGATGGTCCTAAAAATTACGGCCGACTTGCAGGCCCGATAATAACGCGAAAATAATATGAAGTCAATCCATGTGTCATAAACAGTATGCATGTATCATGTTGGATGTATTCAGAGCGATGTATTTATTAACATGTATTTAGATATTTAAGAACAACTCGATATTTGATAATAGCGAATAATCGTAGTGGGCTCGATGTTGCTTTTTTTTTTTTTATCAACAATCTTTTTCTCGTTTTGTTTTCCGTTCTTACCAATTTTATTAGATAAGGAAGAAACCGATCTGCCCGTATGCGTGCCTATATAATACGTGTGTGTGTGTATGTGTGTGTGTACGCGCGCGCGAGAGAGAGAGAATGAGAGTAAGAGAGACGAGAGAGTGAGAGAGGGAGCGAGATAAGAGAGACGAAAGATAGGGAGAGAGAAAGAGACATGGCACAATCCTGTAAACAGAATACTCGTATTCTAAAAGAAAAAGAAGAACGCGTTAACGACACTATCACGAAACATACACAGCGCGAGATGTTACGTATAAAGTTTTCCTGATCGAAGCGCATTTTATATAGCAACGATATCAAAACGATGTTCGAAGTGTTTCTACGAATTTCACCTATTCAGATCTACACCGTTGTTTCGCAAAATATTCTTTTCTTGTTCCGTTTTAACATCTTTTTTTCGTCCGAACGCTTTGCCTACCGGAAACCTACGAATAAGATTCTCAGTTGAATCGAAACGAAGCCTCAAATCTTTCATCTTCTTGCTAATTCTGAAAAATTCATTAAAAAAAATCCTCGATTAATACATCGATTATTCATTTCGATCGAATTGATATTTCCGGTATCAGAATCGCAGCGAGATAATCAAAATCTAAATCTTCGGATAGTTGCGTGAATGCATATTAAATAAATACTGGTATGTAACTTGTTGCTTTAAAAGTTCATTATCTGTGAATTATAGGTTCCCGAAGGTTATCAAATAATCGTCCGGTAGGCGAACCTGTTAAAAAAGAATCATTGTTGGCGACATTTTGTTGACAAAATCTCGTCTCGATGCGAATCTCTTTCTCGAACCAGTATTTCACAAATACTCAGTTTGACTTGACACGGCTGTATAAGCTCGTCGGTGATACATAATCCATAAAATATATCCATTCCGTCTAAACGATGAAAAAAAAAAGAAGAGGAAAAAAACCGAAAAAAAGCATAAGTAGGAAGGGGGAGGGGGGATGATGTGAACGAGCAAAACCGTTATACATGTAATCGAAACTTTTTTTTCTAAAGTCGTGCTACGATGTTTTCGGAGGAGCGTATATCGTGAAGAGGGGATTGTAAGGATATCGATACGGTTCTAATTCTTAAGATAAAAACCACGAGGGGTCTAACCGGGCTTATTAACGAGTTACGGGGCCCCGTTAAACGCTAAGAACAATACTTAGACATTTTTTCAGGTTTCATAATGCGAACGTGTACATAAGATTATAAGATTGTAAGCTACGAGAAGTTTATAACGAAGATCGACTAACGATACTTTCGAGATTATTCAATGATCGTCGTGACAATTTGAAGGAACCGTTTTCTTTTCTTTGTTCTACGACGGAAAATACGGGGCGAGCCACCCTCGACGACGCGAATTCGTATTATTCGTAAATTAGTGATCGTATTAACAAATGTTTCGAACAAAAGTTGTACGGTACCAGTTGCTAAAATTCATCGCGTGTCTCTCGATACAAATGAAGCATGGTAAAAAATCAAAGAATCATTTGGTATTGTCTGATGATTGAAATATCTGTTCGCACGATCTGCGATGAACGAGCGAGAACTCGGTGTCGTCAGATTGGGTGGCTCAGCCTGCAAACATGTTTCTTGGCGAAAGAGGCGACTAATAGACGAAGATCCAAGCTTTCTCCTCGTTTCTAATTGGAAGCAACATATATTGTTCGTGTACCGTTTCGTTAGTATTTATTCCAGCGGCGTTCGCAAAGCCCGCGCAATTACATTTATTTATCGTCCGACTGTAAAATGTTACAGTTCCCCCGTATAGGTCGTATAGGACGATTCGTCGAACGTTTCCGCCATGTTTCTCTCGTACCTGCTGCGTTACTCTTAATTGCAATGTGTCCGATAAAGAGCCGTAATTTAACTCTGTAAATTAATAACGATGTAATTTCCATGCGTTTCCGAGGCGGGAATGGTTCTGACGGTTCGCAAATAATCTCGCACAAGTTCGAGGACGCGAGTGCTCCTGCCGGAAACCGATTCTCGGTTCGAAGATGTCGACACGCCCGATGGAACGGCGAACGATTCCGATTCGAATCGAAACGGAACGACCGAGCCGTCAGAACCGTGATGTAATTATTTGCTTTAATAACGTATGTAACATAGTAAATCGAAAAGAAACGAAAACGATTATGTCCGTGACGCTACGACGCGACAGGAGCGATCATTGTCGAATGAGGCCATTGTTTCTCAATCACAGCATACTATTGATTCGTCGTTAACCCTTGGACGGTCGGATACCGGACGATACCGAGTAATTCTTCCTAAATGTAAAGTGCACATTCGCGTCGGATGTCGAGATACACCAACGTTGCGTAGTTATGCCATCGATTTCTAGTTCGATATTCACCGATCGCGTCGAGGAGCTACAATTCGGAGGAAGAACAACGCTGGATCGAAGCGGCCGAAACGATCGCGACGATCACGAGAATCGTTCGTTGTAGACCGTCCAACGGGTCAACCGTGTCAGATCTCTTCGTCTATTAACGCGGAATGTGGTCCGACACACACTGTGACTAGATTTGTGAACCGAGCAATTGTAAACTGTTCCCGTCAAAAGAGTTTCGAAACATTGTAAGATCCGATTTTCTTTTCGCGCTTCTGCTAATTTCTAGTGCGTCGATAGCTTCTATACGAACGGCTGAAAAACAGAAAAGTTACGACGAGACTCCGAGCGTCCCCGGGCTCGGAGGACGAACGCAAAAAGAAAAGATAAGAAAGAAAAGGACGAACTTCTCCGCGAAAACCGCCTTCGCGCAGTTTCGATTGCCGATTCGCGATTTAGGGGGACAGGACGCGTCGAGCATTTCCGGCGAAATCTGGTCACACGATCCGACTCGAGATCAATTCGGGACAACGACGGTTCACGTCGGTGTGCCATAAACGTACTTAGTGATGTCGTGGATCGTTTTACGAGTGGGCGCACCGTGATCAAGATCGGGATCGAGGATCGTCGTGAACGAAAATATAAATGCCGGACGCGACACGGGGCTGTAGTCGGGACCGTCGACTATGGTCGATGCCACTCTGGCCAAGTTAGTTGTGTTTGTTTGTTTTGTTTCCTCTTTCTTTTTTGTTGATTCGAAGATAGAGCGAGAAACATTCCCGCGAGTAATGCCGACGTTACTTCCGGTCTCTGTCGAGGCCGTGTTCGACGAGATCGGCGGCCACCATTCGGCCCCGGAAACGGACGAACGCCGGCGGCCGGGACGAGGTCTTGCTCTTTCGGCCTCCGTCGGGAGGTCGTCCACCGTCGACGAACCCGTCCTCGACGATCTTTTGCACTGTCGTATTTATAACGCAACAACGGGATCGTTGTAATGGTATTTCGATGATTTAGAGAAAGAATGAGACGCAAGACGGCCGTGTAAGGAAGGTGGAGGCGGACGGAGAGACGAGAAAGTCGGTGGTCGAGGAAGGATGAACGAGACGGAAAAGCCGAAGATGGAGGAACGGTGTCGCGACGACACTCGCGGCGAGCAGCGGATCGTACATTCCCGTATTAGTCGTAAAGAAAAGAATGAAAAAACAAAAACAGAATTTTATACATTCGTACGTACATAATTGTATAATGTTATTAAAATAGGAAACACAAAGACGTCGATGTTACGTGTGAGATCTGGGATACGGATCGAAAAAAAATGCTGTCTGAATAATAATGACATGATTTCTGTCATTGTCGCTGAATCGAAAGTCGCACAGTTTTCTGAGTACACACGAAACGTTCCAGTGATATCGTTGAACCGCGGATCTTTACGCAAACGATCGATTGTCTGTCTCTCCGATGATCGGAACGATCGACGTTGATCAACGACGCGTAAAATCGGTGGTCCAACGAATCACGTCCTCTCATCCTTGTGCACCGACTTAAAAGATAATCGATTTCAATTTCTTCCTTTAATAACTTTTTTGTTCTACGTTTTTCAGTTCACTTAGAAATCGACGAAACCCCTCTCTCTTTGAAACATTTGCGAAGGATGAAAGACAACGAAGCGGTCATTGCTTTTGGATTCCAGGTTATTTCGATTATTTTCTTTTGGTAATTATTTTGTTTTATCATCCTCAAATTAATTAATTAATCATATTTATCATCCCTTGTCAAATCATTTTCGGGAAACAGACAATTCACCGAACTCGCGATTAATGTAACGATAAATGTTTATTTCTATTTTTGAGGAACGTACGAGAGAAATAATAACTGATTCATTACGATAACGTATTTATTAACCCCTTAACGCGCAGAAACGTATTAACACGGGCGTGCAAAACCGGCCAAAATGTGCAGACCCGTATATATACGGTCGGCGTCGCAACTTATGTCGCTAAAATGTTCAGATTCGAATATATGAAAAACAGTACGATGGGTACAAAATTCGATCTGCAATGCGATTCAATATTCACTATAATTATTTATCCACTATTTTTATTGAATTTTTAGTAATTTTTGCATTTTTTTTAAATATTTATTGAAATTAAGGTCCAAATATGTATTTTCTTAGATAAAAAAAATTGATTTTTTTTGGTCGGTTTTTTTTTTAAATTGTGCATTAAGGGGTTAAATTAAATTAAAAATGACGTATTTATTACAACCGCGTGCCAATTAACTTCCTTTTTTTAAATCGTCGAGGCGTTAAAATCGCGTTTCGTCGGTTTTCTCCGTGTCTCTTTTGCTTGTCCGTCATCGTCACGATTCGAATGACATTCTCCGCGAATCCCGCGTATTTCAAGAGCACCAAGGTTCCGCAAATTTAGGGTGACTAAATTTACATTAGAGAACTCGAGACGCTGGTTGCAGCTTCGGAAACAATCGAGAACACGGAGGAATATCGCGATAGCGAAAACATTTTAAATTTCGATCAGCCTGAATTTTTTTTCATTATCGCAGCCTCGTCGCGTTTCAAGCCTGGTTTACTCGAGCCAATCCGATCGAACGGAGCCAGACCGAACAGTTATTCGTTTCTGTTTCGCATTCGGTTCACACACGGAAGCGTAGGTATCATGCCAATGAATATTTCTGTATCTCGAGATGAACGTAATCGAGAGAGATAATCTGATTTTCCCACGGACAACCGTAACCGTGCATCGATCTCTGTGCTTTTCATTAAACAGTCACGCAAACTAATAAATTATTGTTCCATGCAGGAGAACGATCTTATCTGATCAAATATTAAAAACGATATGCAGTTTGCCGGGAAAACAACGAGTTCCTGCCATTCGTTCATACGACATTGTTTTGTGACAAAAAGTCTGAATGTACAGTAAATTCTCTCTAATTGACGCTCAGATTGTGCACAAAAATGGACAATTTTGGAAGAGAAGACACGATTGTTTGAGCCTTGCGGCTCGTTTTTATAATTGTGGACAATTTATAACTATAAAAATAAACCGCAAAGCTCGAATAATCGTACCGCCTCTTCTCAAATTGTCCATTTTCGTGGTCAATCTGAGCGTCACTTAGGGAGAATTTATAATATATATTGTTTAATCACTTTTTGCGACCCGTAAGAGCGCAGCAGTTCATCGAATTGATACATCGGCCTCATCACCTCGGTTCTGTATTTATTTTTAGTTTCCACGCGGCCGCTTTCGCCGATCACCGAGCGGAGATCGCGTGTTTTCCGCGAGAAATAATCGCCGCAATAAGCCGGATCCCGCCTCTCGACGCTCCGAAATGCTCCCGATCCTTCATGGTGAGTCGACGCCGTTCTTATTTCATTTCCCATGATATATCTCTTCCATTTCTTCTCGCCCGTACGTTCATCCCCCGCTTAATTGCTCGGCGTCCACAGTTCGGCCAACGTTTAGGAATTAATTTCTGGAAGAAATCGCGTCGACGGATCGAAACGTAATTAGAAAAGGACAAGTCCGACCTGGTCAGATCGGTAGTTATTCTTGCACGATGTTTATTACAACTCGCGAACAACTAATTCCGCGTAATTAGCTGGTTATGCAGATTAAAGTTTCAAAGGAGACCAGCTCGTTAAATTACAAAGGCGACTGCTTCCGGCGTTAAACAAAAAAATCTTGTTGCTCAGCGTCCCAGAGTACAGATCAATCTTTCGAAACAACACTATTCTCGATCAGTTTGTTAAGAGTTCATGGATACGGTAAATTTTGCCTAATTTTCTTTCAGCTTGTAAACAAAACTGGATAATTTGGGAAGAGAAGATACGACTATTCGAAGTCTCGCACCTCGTTTTTCTATAATTGAGCCGTTTCTTTTGAAAGTGGCATAAGTCACGTTGTTTTTAAGTCGATATATTGAAGGGTTTGCTTTTTAACACGTTTAAAAACATGGATGCTAACTTTCGAGAAGATTTACTTGTATTTGTTATCTCAGGATACTGATATTTTTCTCAGTATAAATAATTTCGTATAAACATTAAAAAATCACCACTTTTCATTACGGTTGAGTGACTGATGCCACTTTCGAAATAAACGGCTCAATTCTTGACGATGTATCTCTTCCTTCCAAATTGTTCATTTTTGTGTAACAAGTTGGAGGAAAATTGGGAAGAATTTACCGTATTTGTCTTCGATTTTCTTCGACCGTCCATCGCGCTACTCTGTTTAGAAGCGAGGCACCGCGGATAACCGTTCGATAAAGCTTGAGGTCCGCGTTTTCCAGCGGCCATTTTCCCGGGCGGCGGTCGTCCCCGAAAAAAAGAGGAGCCACAATCGCGAAAAAGCGACGAAAATCCTCTTTTTTTTTCCCCCCAGCGAGATATTTACACGCGGGGAAGGATAAGGGCGCGGAACGAGCACGAATTAGTGGCGGTCGACGATTCAGCGCACCGTTATATTCCCTCTCGGGTTTTCGCTTCTTTTTTCGGCCTCGCCGTTCCCTTTTCTCCCTTGAAAGGAAACGCGACACGGAAAGAGCGGGGAGAGGACTGCTTTCGCGCTGAAACGTTCCACCGTCCGCGGCCGGGAAACGTTTCCTTTAATATTCGGCGTAACTTTTCAATTAACGCGCTGCCTCGATCGCTTAATGGCCGGACACCCTCGTTCCTTTCCTCGGTTGACTTTTCGCTAAAATTGCGAACGGGTCCGTGTGCCGCGTGAAAGTCGTCCACTCGACCGAAATTTCGAATGGAAAATCGTGTCCGGCGCCGGAGATCATTTTCCACCGCGTGTTCATTGCAATGGGATAGAAAATGGCGGCTGTTCGCGAGATTAGGTTCGCAGAAGGCGTTATACCTAGAAATCCGTGCTTTTTTTAAAAATTGATTTTTCATGTTATTCTGTCCTTTAACACTAAACCTACCAAGCAGTAATACTAACCGGCATGTACTGCTTCACAAAAGTGAGAAGACCGAGTTTATTTGGAATTTGTGAAGTTTTTATTATAAGACTTGCTCTAATAATATAACTTATTCAAGCGTTTTCCACGAAAGAGTCTCGGAACTTTGCAGAATTGCAAAATAAGAAAGCGGTCACTTTGACCGTGGTAGGTTTAGTGTTAAAAATGAAGTAAAATTCTAATCTCTTGTCATCAATATTTAAGCATTCGAGCAACTTTAATTTAATTTAATTTAAATTAATTTAATTTAATTTAATTTAAAATTTTTTAAATTCCTTTCCCTTTTGAGAAATGATTGTTATCGAAAAATTTCTAATCGCAGCAGCTGCGAAGAAAATGGTATGCCATGTGGGTTAACATCGAGTTACGATGTTAATCCGTTGCTTCCGCGTTCCTTCCCTCCACCGCAGCGAAAGAAAGACGCCGAACAGCGGCCGCTGTTGCACCAGGGATGCATTCGTTTAATCTGCTCGTTGCTGGGGATGATTGTAGTCGTGCGAGGAAAAGCTGCAGTCGTAAATCGTCGTCGTAGAAACTTCATTACTCACTCGCAATATCTGATTAACGCGTCGGCCACACGTTGAACCAGAAAATTCTCTGCATACCATTGAAACACGTTCCTCGATTTCGTGGCATTTCCAGCATAGAACGAGAGTTTAAGCCAACCTGCTAAACCTATTTCAAACAATCGACGCAACTTGAAACCAGCGAATGCAGGACCACAGTCTTTAGATCATAAATGATCAATGAATTTCACGATTCACGCGGAACACGTATTTGCACCGACGTTGCGAAGCACGATTCGAAATAGCGTCGCATAAACTTCTCGATGAAATTAAAGCACATTGATTAATCAATGTGCGACATCATGCTCGCAGCGAGCTATAGAGGGTTAACTCGGAACGATCTGCACGCGATGTCAACAATTTTCGCAGCAAGATAGCAAGCGTTAGGCTCGATATATGGAACAGGACTACGGTCGATTTTGTCGCAAACAAAGGGTTAAAAGCCAACGAGAAATGTTCAGGAGGATCCCGATGATGTCGAGGGGGAGCCTAAACCGTGGTCCGAAGCAAAAAGATGCGAAAACGCGAGGGGACGCGGACGCGAGGCGCGATTTGTTCCGTCTAAAAGGAGGATCGTTGTTCTTTCCAAGGGAAAAGTTGAAATCCGATTAAAAGCTTCGCAGCGGGAGCGACGAAAGCGATGGCAAACTTTCCTTCTCTTTCCCTCTCTGCGCAGAGAACATTCGCCGGTTCCATCGGCTGAGCCGATTCGATCCCCCGATCCCGAAAGATCAACAGAAATTAAGAAGGTGGAATCAAGCCCGATGGAGGTGGCGTCGGTCGCTGTAGCATCTGCTCTTGACGATTCCCTCGAAATCCAGCCC